AATCTCACTTTGTCGCCCAGACTAGGGTGCAGTGGCGGGATGTTGGCTCATGGTCACCTCCACCTCCCGGGTTCAAGCAATTCTCCTGCCTCAGCCTCCTGAGTAGCTGGAACTGTAGGCATGCACCACCATACCCAGCTAATTTGTGTATTTTTGTTAGAAACAGGGTTTTACCATGTTGGCCAGGCTGGTCTCGAACTCCTGACCTCAGGTGATCTGCCCAGCTAGGCCTTCCAAAGTGCTGAGATTACAGGCCTGAGCCACCACGCCCTGCCTATTTGTCTTTTTTAGTTGAGTTTGTGTTCTGGATACAGGTCCCTTATTCAGTATATGATTGCAAAGATTTTCTCCTGCCTTGCATGTTGTCTTTTTCCTCCTTGATGGTGTCCTTTGCAGCACAGAAGTTTTGAATTTTGATGAAATCCAATTTCTTTGTTTGTTGGTTTGCTTGTTTCAGACAGAGTCTCACTCTGTTGCCAGGCTAGAGTGCAGTGGTGCCGTCTCAGCTCAGCTCACTGTAACTTCCGCCTCCTGGGTTCAAGCGATTCCCCTGACTCAGCCTCCCCAGTAGCTGGGACTGCAGGCACGCGCCACGACACCTGGCTAATCTTTGTATTTTTCAGTAGAAACAGGGTTTCACCATATTGGCCAGGCTGGTCTCAAACTCCTGACCTCAAGTGATCCACCCACCTGGGCCTCCGAAAGTGCTGTGATTCCAGGTGTGAGCCACTGCGCCTGGCCAAGAATCCAATAGCTTTACTTTGTGTCTGTGTATGTGCTTGTCCTTTAGGTGTCATGTCTAAAAAGCCATTGCCTAATCCAAGGTCATGAAGATTTATACCTGTGTCTTCTTGTGAGAAGTTGATGGGTTTTGTTCTGCTGTTTAGGTCTGTTATTGATTTTTAGTTAATTTTTGAATATGATGTAAGGTAGGAATCCGATTTCATTATTTTGCATGAGGATATCTAGTTGTCCTGATACTATTTGTTTAGAAAGTCTTATTTTTCCTTTTTGAATGTGCTCAGTACCCTTGTCAAAAATCTACTGACTGTAATACAAAAGTTTATTTCTGGATTCTTTTTTTTAATTTTTATTTATTTTATTTTTTTATTTTTATTTTTATTTTTTTGGAGATGGAGTTTCGCTCTCGTTACCCAGGCTGGAGTGCAATGGCGCGATCTCGGCTCACCGCAACCTCCGCCTCCTGGGTTCAAGCAATTCTCCTGCCTCAGCCTAGTGAGTAGCTGGGACTATGGGCACGCGCCACCATGCCCAGCTAATTTTTTGTAGTTTTAGTAGAGATGGGGTTTCACCATGTTGACCAGGATGGTCTCCATCTCTTGACCTCGTGATCCACCCACCTCGGCCTCCCAAAGTGCTGGTATTACAGGCGTGAGCCACCGCGCCTGGCCGGATTCTTGATTCTATTCCATTCATCTCTATGCCTGTTTTTATGCCAGTACTATACTGTCTTGATGACCATGGCTTTGTAGTAAATACTGAAATTGAGAAGTGTGAGTCCTCCAACTTTGTTCTTTTCTGAGGTCATTTGGCTCCTCTACCAGGGCATGTCTTGTATCATGAGTGGAAGTTTGGTGCGTGGGCGGGTTTCAGGCATGGTGTGATCCTAGGCTCAGCGGCACCATCAAAGACCCATCCTTTCCATACCCTCCCATCTGCCGCCTCTAGCACTGGCCTCATCCTAATCAGAACTTCCTTACCTCATTTGAGGCAGGTTCAGTGCAGATGTCCAAACACAGGATTCTTAGCTCCCCAGGAACACTGAAGGCAGGTCTCTTCCCTAGTGTCCAGTGAGCAGCAGGCAGTGAGCAAGCCCGTGGCTCAGCTAAGAAGGGCTTCTCCAGGAACTTCCCATCGAGGTTTGTGGAGGGCTACTGTGGAGGGCAGCATTGAGGCTGCTGCATGGCACAACTCAGTGGGCACCATTCAGTTGAAGTCTGTGTAATTGGCATCCCCAGTTATATACAGCTTGTAACTTACTCATATTGCAAAGAGATAATGAGATTTCTGAGTAAGGACACATTTGTTTAAATCGTCATAGTGTATTAATTTCATCTTCTTCCCAAGGAAAAGGAAGAAATTATGTGGTGATACCACAGGGTCCCAAGCAACAATCAGATTGGGCCGCTGGATTGACACCTGTCAGTCACTGAGCCAATACTAATTGAGCCACCTGAATATGCTCAGCACTCTGCTGGGTAACAGGAGATGGAGGCTCATCTGATCCTTAAGAAATAAATACCCTTCAGAGATGGAGGCCGGGGACAGTCAGGGTGGGCTTCTTGAAGGAGGCAGTGAGAAGAGGCAAGCAACCACATTCAGGAAGTCACACCAGGATCTGGACTCCTAGTCATCTAGCTCTGTCCCTCCTGGCTGTGCCACATCAGACAAGTCACTTAACCTCTCTGAGCTGCAGTTTGCTCATTTGCCCAGTGGCACTGATACCACATCCTTTGCAGGATCCTTGTGAGAGTTAAAGGAGAAGTAGGTCAACCTTTGATGATGCCTTGGCCCCTGGGAAGTGGCGTCCAGAGGCCAAAACACTGTCAGGTGAGAGAGATTTATTTTTCCTCCTAGGAGTTCATGTTTGACAAAATGGAGACCGTGAGAGTGATCACACTGCTTATGGAACCCAGAGTGTGTCGGTCATGGGACAGCCTCAGGGACCAGGAGCTCAGAAGACACCCCAGACCCTTCAGGAAACATCCAAGGAGCCGGCTTTCTACCCCCAGGACCCCCTTTCCCAGCCCCCGTACTTCAGAGTGCTCCAGCCTGCACTGACTGGCCTGCGCCGTGCCGGCCCCGAGGCATCATGACCTCTCCTTACCTGTCTGGCCTCCTTTTCTTGCCACCGACACCTCCAAGCCAGCAGGAGAGAGTCTGGGGGCACTGAGGGGGTGGGCAGGGTCCTGGACCCAGCTGGGGTTGGGGGTACTGGGGTGGGCACGGTCCTGGACCCAGCTGGGGTTGGGGGTGCTGCTCCCCATCCTGGGGGATTGGCAGGGATCCAGGTGAGCCCTGCCTGGGATCGGGGAGAGAGAGGCAGTTTCCTGAGTTGGGGACAGGAAGGCCTGGGGCTGAAGACTCCCCACCTGGGAGCTGGGGCTGCATCTCACTTTCGTGGTGGGCTCCTGAGACTGAGGAGCTTTGGACAGATGCTTGGCTGCTGGGAATGTCCCAGTCACAGGAGCTCTGTTAAGACCCACCAGGGCCATGGGATCCATGGGAGTTCACCTTGCCCACAGCAGACTGCAGAGCTAATGGGGGCGCTGAATATGTAGGGAGCATCTCATCACTGGTTTCCGGAAGTTGAGCACCAGGTTGGTACGTTCTGCCCGTCCTGCAGGTGTCTGAGCTGCCTGGGATGAATGGTACTCTCAGGGAGCCCTTGGCAAGGCGAGGCCCCTCTCTGGGCTGATCTTTCTACCTGTAAAATGGGGAGAGAGTGCCAGACACAGTGGCTCATGCCTGGAATCCCAAGCACTTTGGGAGGCAGAGGCGGGAGAATCACTTGAGCCCAGGAGTTCCAGACCAGCTTGTACAATATAGGGACATCCTGTCTCTATAAAAAGTAAAAAATTAGCCAGGTGCAGTGGCACATACCTGTGGTTCCAGCTACTTAGGAGGCTGAGGTGGGAGGATCGCTTGAGCCTGGGAGGTCAAGGCTGCAGTGAGCCTGATCATGCCACTGCACTCCAGCATGGGTGTCAGAGCTAGACCCTGTCTTTTTCTTAAAAAAAGGGGGTCAGTGAGAGAATGTCTAAGCCCCCCACTCCAGGCTGACATTCTAGGTCAAGTTTGGAAAACCCAGGTCTGCACAGAAGGCACTTGCTTGCTTTCACTGTGCCACTGGGGTAAAATCATCCTAGCAACCAGCACAGCCCCCAGAATAATTCAGCTCTAGAGGTCGGCTGCTCTTAATTTATCTAGATAAAGGTTGAAAGTTAAGAGCAGCTGCTGAGCTGTGAACAGGTGTGAGTCAGCAAATGAACTTTCAAAGGAGAGTTTTAGAAAAGATGCTGACTGACAGCCAAGAACCCTGAGAGCCCGACTGACTCCAGGTGCTGCCGGGAGGGGGTAGGGGTGAATCAGACTTGGCCACTGAGTTAAATAGGGAAGATACACGGAAGGAGGAAGGCTGAGTGTGGCCAGGTTTTCGGAGTAGTGTAGTTGTATTTTGGGGATTTTGGTGGCTTTTTTTGATACTGAGTCTTGCTCTGTCACCCAGGCTGGAGTGTAGTGGCTTGATCTCTGCTCACTGCAATCTCCACCTCCTGGGTTCAAGTGATTTTCCTGCCTCAGCCTCCCAAATAGCTGGGACTACAGGCGTGTGCCATCACATCTGGCTAATTTTTGTATTTTTAGTAGAGATGGGATTTCACCATGTTGGCCAGGCTGGTCTCAAACTCCTGACCTCAAGTGATCCACCCACCTCAGCCTCCCAAGGTACTGGGGTTATAGGTATGAGCCACTGTGCCCAGCAAGTAGTGTAGCTCTTAAAAGGAGAGCCAGGAGGGAGCTGCTGTTTTGAGTTTCTGATCTCATAGACCTTCAGAGAAAAGAGGGCACCTCAGGTAAGGCTGGAGTGGGATTTCAGCAGGAAGAGGCTGCACTAAAGAAAAGCAACAGAAATGCCAGAGTAGGGACTTGGAGCTTGGCCGGGGCATGCAGGACCCCGGAGCGGCCTGAGAAGGTGGGCTGGGGGACCACGTGAGGCTCCAAACACCAGGCTGTGAGGTTTAGACTCCATCAAGGGCCGCACGGGAGCCTCACACACTCATGCCTCTCTGTTCTCTCTTTCCCACTCTTTCCAAAGCGAGCTAAAGTATTCCGTTAGTCTTCCCCATTGCAGAGGATTAAGCCGAGGGGTCTCAGGTTTGAACATGCACCAGGAGGGCCTGTATCAGTGCAAAGTGTGGGCCACCTCCAGAGCGTCCAGGCCCTAGAATCTGCATTTCTAACAAGTCCCAGGATGCAGCAGATGCTGTTGGTCCTGGGGTTACATTTTGAGAACCACTGCTTTAGAGTAATGGCAAAACCTACGTGCTAAAGCCAGGCACTGCTCCACTGTGACCACCAACTTCCCCCGCCTGGACTTCGGAATTCCCTCTGCAAGATGGATCTGAACCAGGCATTCCAGGAGGGCTGCCTGAGCCCTGTCTGACTTCCCGGAAAGTGCTGGAGGGCACTGCCTTCTACACCCAGGGCACAGTTCTCTGGCTTGATGGCTGTGCCTTCGAGGACTCTATGTCATTCTGTCCCCTGTCACCTGCCTGCTGTGCACCTGTCGTGCTTGATCTAGCTCAATCACAAGGAGCATGATTGGAGCCGTTGCTTGGCGTGGCAATGGCCTGGCCACCAATCTACATTTGCAGTCAGCATCTGGGTATCTTGGGAGCTCCCAGCCTCCTCTGGGCAGGACTGGGGCACAGGGCATCACATGCAGTGGCATGACTACCTCAGGCTGCTGGTAAGTACCAGAATGCTGTCTCTCCTTTCTCGGCTTTTTGCCATATAGAAAGCTCGCTCTGCCCTGACCCTGCAGCTTCAAAGCACTTTTCTCGTGGGTTCAATATTAGCTGGAGAAAAACTTTCGAGGGCATTTGGAGAAAAAAAAAAAGCACTAGTTCAGGTACCTTATGAAATGTCATTTCATCTGACCTCCCAGTTGGATGGATCGTGGGATCTCAAGACACCAACAGTCCTGGGCTTGGACATTTTGAGACCGAGAGCTCATTACCTCCAACGAATCCCAACTTTAAGCAACTTCAAGCAAGAGAAAATTCTTCCCACGGACCATCCTGGAAGAGCTGGATTATTACCAAATGGCTGGTGCTGGGGAAACCGGCTCTTGGGAGGGGGAATCAAACTGTGTTCTTTCTCAACTTGTGTTCTATGATTCTTTACAGCAGTGGTTTTCAAACTTTAATGTTTACTGAAACCACATGAGAGACTTGATAAAAATGGAGAGAACTGCACCTTCCTCTCAGACTCTCATTCTAGGGTGAGGCCCAGAAATCTGGTGACTCCAATGCAGACAGCTCTGAAATCACAGGCAGAGAAACACTGGGCATCTGAATTTCCTCTCTCTCTCTCTCCTCCACCTCTTCCTTTTCCTCCCTGCCTCCCTTTTCTTCCTTCCTTCATTTCTTTCTTTCTTTCTTTTCTTTTCTTTTCTCTTTTCTTTTCTTTTCCTTCCTTCCTTCCTTCCTTCTTTCTTTCTTTCTCTCTCTTTCTTTCTTTTCTTTCTTTCTCTCTCTTCCTTCCTTCTTTCTCTCTCTCTTTCTTTCTTTCTTTCTTTCTTTCCTTCTTTCTTTCTTTCTCTCTCTCTCTTTCTTTCTCTTTCTTTCCTTCTTTCTTTCTCTCTCTCTCTTTCTTTCTCTTTCTTTTGTTCTTTCTTCTTTTCTTTCTTTCTCTCTTCCTTCCTTCCTTCTTTCTCTCTCTCTCTCTCTGTCTCTCTCTTTCTTTCTTTCTTTCTTCCCTCCCTCCTTCCTTCCTTCCTTTCTTTCTTCCTTTGGACAGAATCTCACTCTGTAGCCCAGGCTAGAGTGCAGTGGCACAATCTCAGCTCACTGCAACCTCCTCTTCCCAGGTTCAAGGAGTCTCCTGCCTCAACCTCCTGAGTAGCTGAGATTACAAGCGCCTGCCATCATGCCCAGCTAATTGGTATGTTTTTAGTAAAGATGGGTTTTCACCATGTTGGTCAGGCTGGTCTCAAACTCCTGATCTCAAGTGATCCACCTGCCTTGGCCTCCTGCAGTGCTGGGATTACAGGTGTGAGCTACTGCGCCCAGCCCTGAATGTCAAAAAGAAGAAAACTTGGTCCATACTCACCTGATCTTCAATGGGGAAGAACTTTGGAAGCACGAGAACGATAGGAGTAACACCCAGAAACTATCTAACCACATAAAAGTTATAAATACATCTACTTCAGAGCACATCCAAATATCCAAAGACACTAAGCTGGTGCTAAATGGTGAGGAATTTGGGAAGGGATCAATGTTTTTGATATTTAAAGAGCTCTTACACAGTCAAAAAAATGACATGAGTTGCTCATTTTCAGCAAATCATGAAATAAATTAAAATGGCCTATAAACATAAAAATATTTCAATCATACAATTATTGCCTGTCAAAATAACTTAAAGCTAATAGACATGCTTTTAGGCTCACCATGGAATTGTTTGCATAAACTCTCTGGAACGCAATTTGCTAAGAGTTCTTGAGAGGCTTAAAAAATGTCCTTTGGCTCAGTGTGGTCGGCCCTCTACATACATGGGTTCCACACCTTTGGATTCAACCAACCACACATCAACAATGTTCCAGATTCAACCAGCCCCAGATGAAGCAATGCAGAAAAAACCCATCTCTACTAAAAATATTTTTAAAATTTATCTGGGCATGGTGGTGCACACCTGTAATCCCAGCTACTTGGGAGGCTGAGGCAGGAGAATTGCTTTAACCCAGGACGAGGAGGTTGCAGTGAGCCAAGATAGCACCATTGCACTCCAGCCTGGGCAACAACAGCAAACCTCCATCTAAAAAAAAAAAATTTTCAGAAAAAAAGAAAAACATTAAAAATTAAAGATACAATAAAAAATAATACAAATTTTTAAAATATAGTACAACAACTATACAGCACATAGTATTAGGTATTGAAAGTAATCTAGAGATGATTCAAAGTATATGAGGGGATGCGCATACAATCTGACACCATTTTCATTCCAGGGACTTGAGTATCTGAGGATTTTGGTATGTGTTGGGGGGGGCGGGGGGTCCTGAAACCAGTCCCCCACAGATGCTGAGAGACGACTGTAATTCCAGCTCAGGAACTTCTCTCAATAACACCGAGCTATTATTTGGTTGAAAGT